AAATTTTTAAAAAAGGTAATTTTTAATCATTATGGGTACATAATAGTTGTATATCTAGGATGGCCATAACATTGCACACTATTTTAAATTGCACGTGAACTTTATGGCAACCCTATATTTATGGGGTCCATGTGATGTTTTTATTCAGGCATACAATGTGAATTAGTCAAATCAGGGTACCCATGACCTCAGGCATTTATCACTTCTTTGTGTTAGGAACATTCCAATTTCACTCGTTATTTTAAAGTACACCCTAATTTATTGTTGACTGTAGTTACTTTGTTGAGCCATCAATATGGTCTTGAACCTTTGGACTATCATGATGCGGTGGTTTCACAGCTCCAGGGAGAGCAACTAGTGACACAGTGGGGGCTGGGGTGGCTCCACGGTGATTAAACTGGCTAGCGTAAAGAGAAAGGAAAAGAATCAGATGATGGTATCTGATGATGTTCCCTTCTTGTCCCTCCCAGGTGAGCCTTTTTCTCAAGAAGAAATGGAAGAAATGTTGTCTGCTGCAATTGATCCAGAGTCAAACGCAATTCATTACAAGGACTATATCACAATGATGGTGATAGATGAGCATTAAGTATTCTAAGTTCTAAATGAAAAGATAATTTAAAAAATCCACATTTCATCTCGTAATTCCTATATCTGATATTTAATACATTGTTATGTAACTATTTCAAGATTTTGTTGTTGTTGTTGTTGTTAGAGACAGAGTCTCACTTTATCACCCCTGGTAGAGTGCCATGGCGTCACAGCTCACAGCAACCTCCAACTCCTGGGCTTAGGCAATCCTCTTGCCTCAGCCTCCCGAGTAGCTGGGACCACAGGAGGCTGCCACAATGCCTGGCTATTTTTTGTTGCAGTTTGTCCAGGACCAGGTTTGAACCCGCCAATCTTGGTATATAGGGCCGGCACCCTACCCACTGAGCCACAGAAGCAGCCCAATATTTTGTTTTTTAAAGATAATCTTAACAATGAAAAACAAGATTTTAGTCTGTCTAGACTTATAGAATGACAGATTTGACAAACTGCTTTCTATTTAAAAACTATTTTTACAGCTCGGC